ACGGGCAATAAAGCGTAGTTGGTATAGCGTCTGACGAAGCACCTGAAAACAGACGAATCCGCTAGCCGGTAGATGTGAACTTCATAAATTCACGTATAGATAATATAGAACGAATGAATCAACAATTTGTAGTGGGCATAGAAAACGTGACACGAAGTAAACCTATGGAAAATGTGAGTGAAAAAAGCGAAAATCAAAAGACGGCAATTGCATCTACAGTGGCTAACGATCTACCACAACAGGGGTCTGTAAAAGATATCACCGAAACGATACCCGTGTTCGATCCAACAGATGGAAGCGGTCTTACGGTCGGGCAATTTATCAATCGCATCAAAAGATCTCCTAATGCATTCCAATGGAATAAAAAACAACTATTGCTAGCCGTTTATGGAAAGTTAAAGGGAGTAGCGTGGGTGTGGCTGGATCCTCTACCAGAATTCGGTAGCGAATGGAGCAGTTTTTCGAATAAGTTGCGTGCAGAATTTGATGTAAAATGTGACGTAGCTGACATTAATATTGAATTGAGTCAAGCGGTACATAATGTTAATGAAGGCATCATAGACTATTGTTTTCGAATTCCGGCAGTTGATCGACGATACGAGATAAGTAATAGTGCCATTATAAAATATACTCGCAATGGACTGAACGACACTGAATTGAGAGTGGCGATCGCACCGCTACGGTTTAACAATTTAAAAGATTTTTGCAAATGTATTGAGGACCTTTTACGCAATATACAAAGCGGAACGAACAAAAGAGTTTTGGTAAATTCATCGTCTAATCCGATAATAAATTCGAGCGTAATGCCTGAAAACAAAAGTGTGTACGCTAATGGAAACTCCGGACAGCAACAGTTTAGAACGGAACCGAAGGTTAGAGCTTGCTTCAATTGCAGTGAAGCGGGACAGTTTTCGCGCGACTGTTCAAAGCCACAACGTATATCATCCTGGTGATATGGTGGATTTTATGGATGATATTGGCGTAGGCGGAAATAGGGCAGGGAAATGTTTAGCAAATTACAACGAGTATTTAACGCACTACGTGCGGCGAAATTGACATTAAATATAAAAAAATGCATCTTTCTGAATCGAGATATCGAATTTGGCCAATTGGGTTAGCAGGCGTGCTATTATAGAATGAGAAGGACGAATGAAAACCAGTCGTGTACTATAGCAGATCTACAACGATAGATGAACAAAAATTCCACAGGTACGAGCTGGAAACATTATGTAAGGCACATATTTTACAGTAAAATTTAACCCCACAAATTAAATTGATAATTACATATAATGAGATTTAAATCCACTTAGTAAAAGCATATTTCTAAATTTAATTAATTTTGCTGTTTATTTTAATGACCCTGTAAAGTGCATATTTTTTATTCAATTAATTTCTTATGTAAAAAAACCAATTTTTTTTAATGGATGACCCAGCAGGTTAAAACATGTTTTGATTAGTTTTTTTGCCGCTACTAAAAGGTAGGTAAATTTGTTGTAACTATTTCCCTTGTTTGTCTGCATAACCAAATATAAGAAAAAATTATTCCTGAGGTTGAATTTGATTGCAATGCGTACAACAATAAGAAATTTATTTTGACGAATTTACGGTACTTTATTTACTTGAAAACAATTTTGTTTTTGGTTGTAATGAAAGGAATTTCAAATAAAAGGGCAGCGAAATTGCCAAATCGTTCTATTTGGAATTTCTTTCCTTTCAAGGTAAGCCAATTCTATTAGGGACGACAGTGGGAACTCGGACTAGTTGGTCCAGGCACATGTTGGTTCGTTTGGCCATTGTTGACGATCACCATGTGAATGGATGAACTAGTTTGGGCGAAGTGATGGTGGTTGAATTGCCTTCTGCTTGGCTGATGTTGGCGTAGAGCAATTTAGCCAGTTGAGTTACCTTCTGCTTGACTTATGCTGGCGTAGGGTAATTTAACTAGTCATCCAGACCTCCATTTGGTCATAGCTGATGGAGGAATGGACGACGAGTCACCAACACTGTCAGAAGGCATGTGGGGCTACGAGCGTTTGGCAATTGCTGGCGAGCGTGGTTAGGCGCAACATCAGGAAGGGATCTTTGTCTGCCTATAGCTGACAAAGATTTTATTGATATCAATGTTTTCAACGCTTTCCACACTGTAGACGATTACAACGAGCTCAACGATTTCGACGAACACAACGTTTCCAACATTTTCAACATTTACATTCTTAATTTTATTACTACTTATAACTCCAATATTTTCTTTTGTGAAGGTAACGAATAAATGTTATTTTAAAAACACGGAACACAAGTGTCTCCTTCTTTACTTATATAAATTTCTGATAACGAACCCTGGTATACTGGCTGAGTTATACCCCAGCTATAGATAGAGCCGAAAAAGATCTTTACAATTAGCTGTAGTCGAAACACTGAAGAGATTGCGTTATTACGTATATGGTAAACCTATCACGGTGGTGACAGACTGCAGTGCTTTAAAAACAACGATGCAAATACGCGAGCTAATTCCAAGAATAGCCAGTTGGTGGTTACGTATACAAGATTTTGATATGAAAATGGAACATAAAAGTGCGAAACAAATGAAACACGTGGACGCACTAAGCCGAAATGCTTTACCAAATGTTTATGGAGGCGACACAGTAGATATGCGTACGTTCAAGGTTAGACTAAACAATCACGACTGGTTGCTTGCGATGCAATTACAAGACGTAAACCTTCAGAAATAATTTTTCATAAAAATTTTTAATTTGAGACTATAAAATAGAATTCGCTACAAGATTATGTTTTTTTTATTTTTCTCTGTGCTGCCATTCGCATGCACAGCTGATTTGAAGTGGAGCATTTTGAAAGGAAAATTTTTGTTTGAGTTACAACTTGCGCTGGTAGCTAATAAAAAGTGATATTATTAATAGTGACAATATTCTTAAAAGATATAAATTATGACATCGTTTAAAGCAGGTAACTAGAGTAGCTATTTGAATAAATTTTTTTTGATTTGATTTGATTTATGATATTAACTGCATTATAAAGGTGAAAGATTCTTTATTTAAGAAAAAAAAAGTTTGACTTCGGATTTTTGCGGATGACTTTGTAAGCAGCAAAAAAGTGGAGTCATGCATATTTGAAACAATAGCTGTGTTTCAGCAAACATGATCCGCTCAATTTTACATACAAAACAAAAACAATGGGGTGAATCAGCAATTGATCTGGTTTAATTTCTGGTTCAATGTGGAATGTATATAAAAGATAAAAGTGGAACGTATTTTAATGCAAATGTGGTTGGCAATGCGATTTTAACATATGATACGGTGACTTAGAAAATATAAAGAAAACAACAAGTGAAAACATGGAGTTTGGCGGCAAATAGTTGAGTTTTATTTTTATTGATCTGGCAATTGATCTGGTTTAATTTCTGGTTCAATGTGGAATGTATATAAAAGATAAAAGTGGAACGTATTTTAATGCAAATGTGGTTGGCAATGCGATTTTAACATATGATACGGTGACTTAGAAAATATAAAGAAAACAACAAGTGAAAACATGGAGTTTGGCGGCAAATAGTTGAGTTTTATTTTTATTTATAAAATTAATGATATTTTCACATTTAAATTATAGTGAGAGGCGCAATTGGACAAAAGAGGAAACAAGGGCGTTACTGCTTTCCTATCAGAGCAGGAAAGATGAATTCGAAGATCATCTGCGTAAAAAATACGCTATGCAGAACGTTCTGCTTGATTTAGAAGCACAAGGGATATTGGTATGTATTTGCATTAAGTGTAAAAACTTTTTTTTATAAGTAGTTAAAAGGCTCAGCCCACCACTGTGGAAATGCTTCAAGCTAAAATTTAAAATCTTTTGCGAGCATATAAAGCTTCAAAAGATAATAGGAAGCAAAGTGGTGCTTCACCTTGCCCAGCGCCCTATGAAGACCTGATGGAAGAAATATTTGGAAAAAGCCCAATGATTGCAAACTCGCATACTTTAAATTTAAGCGGTAATCAAATAATCGCATTGCCTGGAGATGGTTAGTACCAGAGTTAAAGCACACCTACATGTATATATTTAGTGTTTTGTGATATAAAATTGTTTTAATGCAATTGAATTGTATGGAAGAATGTGCGTAGATTGATTAGTCTTATAGTTGTTAATTGTGGTGACTTGTTTTTTGTCAAAATTTCAGTGAGCTAAAATCTATTGCTAAATACAGACGACAAAGCTTGTGTTGTGTTTCAATTTATACAAACTTTAGCAAATGAATTATGTAATATATTTTTCTGATACATTCCTCTTTTAATAAATATAGATTAATTATTTTAATTGTATGTTTTTCAGAGGTTCCAGGACCGTCGCGTAAAAGGCAATTGTCGCCATGCAACAATACTCCACCTGAAAAATCAAAAACAGCGCAAGAATATGCTGCCAAAAAAATAAAAATTTTGGAAGAATATACTCAAAGAAAATTGGAGTTAAAAGAAGAGCCGCTTAAAATGAAATCAGAGCAGCACAAAGAAAAAATGAAGCTATTGGAAAAAATAGCTAATAACGCGTCCTCCAAATAAATTTTAAGTTTATTTTAAGTTATATGTTTGTTCGTCATATTAATTTATTAAAATTATGTATTTATATATTTATTTCTTGTTTATTTGAATGTATTTATATAATTTTATTTATTTATTTATTTTATTTGTTATTTATTTTATTTATTATTTGCTAGTATTTATATTTTATTTATCTATTTACTTAATTGTTATTATTTATTTCCTTATTTATGTTAAGTAATGTTTTAATTATTACTATAATAATAATTATTGTTTTTATTATTCATGTTGTGTTATTATTGAAAATTGTTATTGTTTTTTTGTTAATTTATTAAAAAAAAGTAAATTCAAATGAATATTTAAAACTTTAATTAAATTCTTTTATTTATTTAAACACAATACATAATTTACTTGTGGAATAAAGCAATTGTAAATAAATGAAAATAAAATGATTCGATGTTAAGATGTTATGACTCCAGTTTCAATTAAATATTGTAAAACTGAACTCCATCTGTTATCCACTTCAAAATTTTGCGTATTTATTATATCTTCTTCGCTCGAATATACATTTTGGGTAAATTCATTATCAATTTCATCATTTTGCGAACAACATATATTATGCAATATGCATGCACACATAATTAAATTTGTTATCGCAGGAGTTCTTTGCTGTTCCATGAAGTGCAAGAGTCGACGAAACCTAGTTTTCATACGCCCAAAAGCGTCTTCGATAACAATTCTTGCCTGCAAATGCATTACATTGAATTGTCTTTGGGCAGAAGACAAAGCACCATTATCTTTAAATGGACTTACAAGCCAATTTAAATTGGGATATGCAGAATCTCCTAATATAAAAGAACCATTGGGGAATTTGCTTGGCAATGAAGCTGTACTATATAGTTGTGATCTACGTAATACTCGGCTGTCATGCAAGGAACCAGGCTCTCCAACACACACATCTATAAACAGACCATTTGCATCGCAAACGGCCTGTAAGATTAAGCTATAATAATGTTTCCTATTGAAATAAGCCTCCTTGCTATGATGTGGTGCATTTATTTTTATATGGGTGCTATCTATGCAACCAATCACAAACGGAAATTTCTTCGTGGCTTCCACTTTTGCCATATTAGCAAATGCCTCGGACGTATTTGGCCATTTTATAAATTGATGTCCAATTGATATGAGCCAAGCACTTGTTCTTTCAACTATTCTCCAGGCTGAAGCTTTGGATATGCCGAAACAAATACCAATTTCGCGAAAAGTATTTGTATTCGCCATATACCACAAAAAAATGTAAATCTCATTCCCTGCACTCGTCCGATTGTGACCACCACGGCCATTTTGTTGTTGCTGATTGGAATTTATATACAAATCTATTGAAAAATAAAATATAATTAATTAATAGCAATTGTATTTTTTATACGCACATACCAATCAAATAATTTGTAGTACTTCTTTTAAGCCTAAAGTTTTTTCTGAAGTCCTCATCAGAAAAATTATTAATACATTCAACAAAATTTTTACTATATTCATGCTGATGAACTTCATCCCCTGAGCTAATTACACTAGAACTAGTGTTTAAAAATGAAATAGAAGAGTCGGTTTCGCTTTCACTTGATGATTCTAATAAAATCTGTGATTTCAATTTATTTCATACAGAATTAAATTTAAGTTTTAAAGTAAATACTAAACAAAAACTTACATTTAATAGTTCAGATATTTCAAAAATTTTATTATTTTTTTTTTGTATTTTTCAAAATTTTTTATATTTAAATTATTTCACTTATTCTTTTACCGCCAAAATTATTCACACAAATCAAAAAAAAATTTTGTAAACAAACACATCTGACATAATTCACGCGTTGCCAATTGCTTTCATACGTGATCCGTATCGTTTCAGCAAAGATGATTCAGATCATTGAGCGGATCATGTTTGCTGAAACACAGCTAATATTTTGCATTGCTTCGTAAACATTGAAACATTGAAGATAAAGTTAATATTTACTAATTTTTGTGAGGATTTGAAATCCTAATCAAGCACACTAGCAGCATTCAGTGTACTCATGAGCATCGTTTTTGATCTCTGTATACTGTGTTTCCGTGTAATCTTTCCATAATTAAATTTTATCACTTTGTATTTAGGTACTTCAGGGATCACAGAAATATACAGAAATATATTAAGCAGATAAAAGCAGCATAATACGAAGCATATATAAAAGCAGCATAATGCAAAGCTGGAAAAGCTCATACATAATAAAAAGTTTTATCCATGTTATACTTTAATTCAAAAGGTCAAAAAGGACTGTTATCCATTAGGTTCAGCATACAAAATCACTACTACTTGTGCCGAAATCAATTTACAAGATCTTTTGAATCATACAGCAACAAGACTATTGGAATATCTTCAAGAAGTGATTAAATCATTAGAACAGAATGATTTAAAAAACTTAACATTCGTTTGTAAGTGGGGTTGTGATGGATCACAGCAATCCCAATACCAGCAAAAATTTGACAATGAGTTCGTTTTGGATACTTTTTGGTATTTTTCTAAGTTCGTTGGGACCACTGCAACTAATATTATCAAACACTCAGTGACTCAGAAATCTTTTTAAAATTACACTTATTGTTCTAAGGTAAGAACAGAAAAATACATGCTTTCAATAATAATTTTACTGTTGTTAGGTATACGAATATGTTTAGCAAAAACGTCACATTAAAAAACTGACATACTTTTTATTATTATAACAATATTTATAATAATATAATAAATAATATTTATTTGTTTTAATATCTTACTCGAATTGTGTATTGAGAGGAGCAGCTTACTATACATTTGCAACATTTTATTAAACACAGTTTTTAGACATGCTTATGTTTATTTTTTTGTTTTAGCAACTTTAAAAGTCCTGTAGGCCACTAATTCCACTAATCACTATCGCTAAAACTCCAATCTCTTCGCTAAAATTCTTAAATAAGCGATTTGTTTATTTTAGGAGTATAAGCGATCGTGCGATTCTCTGCTAACACAATCTCTTCGTTAAATTTATCCGGCGATGTGGGTAATGCTGAAATTCATTAAAATGTCAAAATAAAAACAAAAATTGTAAACAAATATCAGCTGTTGGAAATATAATTTAAATTTGAAATTTAAAAGCAGATACTGCAGCAAAAAAATATTAAATACTTTTGTGAAATTGTGAAATTTAAATTAAAATTAAATTAATATAACATTGGTGTGTGGATCAATTGTATAATGGACTATTTAATAAGAAAGAGATTTTTTTTCTGGTGATATCAGAAATACACGGAATCATTTACGTTGCAAAAGAAAATGTTTGCGAAATTCCACAGACCTCTTTGCTATATCTGATGCGCGTTTTATTGAAATATTTCGTCTTTCGAAATATTTATGTAAGCTTATTATGGCGCAGAAAACACGAACGAAGAAATAAATGAAGATAATGACTTTGAAGCAGAAGAACCCGTCCCTTAAACGTTTATAGCAAGAGAGGAAATAATCAATAATTATTTTCCATATTAATTGGATTTTATTTAAATATGTTTTATTATTATTAAAATATGTGTTTATTTATATTGTTATTATTTTATTAATAATAAATTGTTATTATGTCCAATATTGAACACTTGTACCGCTACTGCAATAATCCGTTTATTTAGATCGGTTAAATCCCATTTACATTTCCGGTCAGCCCCATTGCATGTTTATACTCTTGAATTTTTTTCTTGTTCTTGGATCTAAAATTAAACAATGGAGTTTTTTTATTCAAAATCAACTGTTTTTGAAAGTTGAGAAAATTAGCGAATAGAAATTAAGCGTAACGAGTTAGCAGAATCGCAAAAGTCGCTAAAATGCATTTAAAGAATTTTAGCGATGGAGTTTTAGCGATAGCGATTAGTGGAATCGGGCTTTACATAACACAAAAATAATTTTTGCCGCCTAAGTTGGTCAAATACCCCTGTGTGGGTCGGCTGTATCGTATGGTGCTAAGTTTTTATGGGTCGTGAAAAAGCGTTTAAGATATCGAGTTCTTCGGGACTGTCGTGATAGCTCAGGACATATGAGCGTTGAAAAGACGATAAATCGAATTAAAACTCATCTATGGTTTCCACAAAAGCGAAACTTCACAAAGAATTATATTAAATCTTGCGTTGAATGTACGTATAATAAACAGCCAGGGGGGAAAAAGGTAGGAATTTACCATTTCGATAAAATAGAGCCTGCACCATTCAAGACCATACATATGGATTACTTAGAACCATTTCCTAAAAGTGTGAAACAAAATGAATACCTGTTCATTATAGTAGATTCTTTTACGAAATTTACCGTACTAAAGCCAGTTAAAAGCACCGCGATAAAACACGTACTCAGTGCACTAAACGAAGTTATAAGTTACTGTGGAATGCCAACGAAAACAATTGCCGATCGGGGGAGTATAGAGTAAGAGTAATATGTAAGAACACATTGTAAACATTGAACTTAAAATTTCTTCATGTAAAAGATATAAGAGAAAATTACAATAAAAAGAGTTTTGTGCAATTATTTTAAATATAAAATATAATAAAAAATAATTTAACTTAACATTATTTACAAAATGTTATATACATTAAATAATAATAATAATTAAGTTTAAAATTATATGTTACAGTATTTACAAGTTTTATAAATTAAACTATTTTGTCTGTTGCAGCCCATTCATCAATGGTTAATTCGGATCAAAAGCTTTGTTCTTCATCTCCAATCGATAGTGGATCGATTTCCATCCGAATTTCATCATCGTCTGAAGAACCATCTGAAGATTCGTGTGAAGAAACTCCAAGGAAAAAGAAAAAAATTGTACGTTAAATCACTTAATGGAGCAACTGCATAAATGCAATAAAATCGAAAAGGAATTGCTCGAACAAGGAGAAAGAGAAAAAGTCGATATAATGAAGCAGTTTTTAGAAGTACAAACAAAAAAATGTATATAATATGTAATTATTTTTTACATAATTGTAGTTATAAGTGTAAAAAAAAGGTAAATAAAAATTACCAAAATAATCAGCTATTGCTCTTCTTATTTCCTCTGTTTGTGGGTTGTTGTCATTGGAAAGGTCTTTGAAAATTTTTGAGTCGTTGCAAATTTATATCTGAAAGAAATAAAACATATATATATCTATAAATAACAATATACAACAATAATATTATATATCTATAAATATATGAACTTAAATTTTACCTGTAATCCACTACCAGCATTGGCGATTCATACGGAAGCTTTCCTTGAAAAAATTTGCACTATTCCCAAAACTTTCCTTATCTTTCCTGTAAGAATATTTGATAGTTATATCAACATATTCATAAAAAATATATCTTTCTTCGTCTTTAATTTAATCTGTTATTGAGAATTTTATTTTGTTCAAATTCACTGCAGAGAAACTTAATTATATTTTGATCCATAATTTTCATCAAAATATATAATAAACGAACACAATATTCACAAACATCAAAATGTAAACAAAAGATAACAAAAACAACAACTGTCAAAATGAAAACACGAAGCGACAATGTAAACCCTGAATCAACTTTAGCAAAGTTCGTTCACTAAAGTTCATAATGTAAACAGTATTAGTTTAATTTTTCCGAAACTAAAGAAATTTGGCTGTCTGAATATAGCATTAAATAAGTAAATACGCCCTCATCTCACTTACTTTTTAGATAAGTTTTCTGTTTTCTGAAACAATAATATTTTAACATTTGAACATTTTATTCAATTAATCTAATTTTATTCATTTATTCAATCTTTATAATTCGAATATAGAATTGAATTTATCGAATTATTTCAATTCGGAATAATAAACAGCATTAAATACCAAAAGTTTTTAACGCTCAAGAATATTTGTTAAAATTACACGTTTGACTGTTTTTCGATTGTTTGATTTCAACGAAAGTGGATATTTTGATGTTTAATCGATATATTATCATCACTAAAAAGAAGTGTCATAAGGAAGAAAACTGTTTAACTTGGTAGTAGAAAGTGGTGAAAAATTTTGAATTTTTAATATATTGTGCAATTTTTATTGGTGAAATGGATCAATTTTCTCATGACTTGACATTAGCATTAGAGGAAACTTCGTTATTAGATAAAGCACGCAGATGGGCTCACCGACGTCGGACTCGATCAGCGGGCAATCTACGTGAGTATAGTTTTTAATAAAATACAAATGTAATACAGTTTCGTATATTAGCTTGTGCACCACAGCCAACAGAGGACTCTTCTAGTCCAAATGATACGATCCAAACAAGTCAATTTAGTTCAAATGTAGACGGGTTAAATGCAAATATAGCAATTGTGAGTGATTCTGATGAAAAAGATGTTCGATTTCCACGCAAGTTAGGAAGTGATGTTTTTCAACTTGGAACATTAGAGTCGGACTCTGTGAATGAAACTTTTAGTCCCGCAAGGTATATATATGTTTATATATATATATATATATATATAAATAAATAATATATTTATTACTTACTTTTTATAAAGATATTTTAAACCTAATGCTCGTAGAAAACGAAAGCTAAAACGTATGTCCGTTGAGTTTGAAATAGATAATACAAACAGTGAAAAGTTAGAATCAGATTTACTCTCAGCTTCAACAACAGGTACAATACGAAAACGAATACATAAACCCGATTCAAGTAATCGTTCGAACATATTTTTTTGTGGCAAAAGAAAGCGTTCAAATCGAGATCGTAACTATGATCATGACAACTACAAATCACAGTCTACCAGTATGCCACGTTATATCTTTTTCGATGAGGCTCAAATGCGACCGCGAAGTTTTTCTTCTACATCAACTCCACAGAGTGAGCGTCTTTTACCGTTAAATAAAGGTCTTATCTCTAGAATTGAAAAACTTTCGAACCATAAGACTGAAAGAATAAATTCCGAAAAAGAACCTAGTGAACATAATTTTCAAGAGAATTTAATTGCAAACAAGGTTAAGTCGACTGAACGATTCGAAACAGGGACTACGTTTACTGAACATCGGAAAAACAGACGTCGTGCAACACAAACTCATTTACAATTTGCTGTAGATCATCATCCCATGGATTATGGTGAATCAAATAGTTGTTCAAGTTCAAACTCAAGTTCTTTGAGTTCGACTGGTTCCGATGACGATGATACTGCAAATGGAACAGATCGTGAAGGTGATGATGAACTTACAGACTGGCCAGGTAATGAAACTGCAATAGATAATAAATATGATCCTAAGCGTAAGTTAACTAAGAAAAATCAGCAACATATAAAATTTGAAGATGGAACTATAATAGAGGACGATAATGTTATGTCTCGTAGTTGCGAATGGTCTAATATAAATAAAAAAGAGCATTTAGAAGTTCGATTTCAGCCATCTGAGCCGATTGCAATATTAAATAATAGCTGTGCAATATTCCCCACTTCAAACTATTTTAAAGATGATATTAATATAACTTTTAAGCAGATTGAAAGCGATATATCTGGTGAAACGACAAATAGACTTTTGGCTTCTTCGTGTAATCAGACATCTGAAGTACGTGAAATCCGCGCTGGTTGTCGCCGTATCAAATGTGAACGTCCAGGTTTTAGTATCAAAACAAGCGCTAACGAAAGACTTGCTCGATTTTTACAAGATCCAACACAAACGCAAATTCGTTTACCGGATATAGAAATTTATGAGCACGAAAGTCTTATAAATTTGTCTACACTTTATTCTTTGCATATGTCTATAGAGAATGGATGTGCTGTGCTTTCTAAAACAAGGTATGTAATATAAATATAAGAATATTTATGCAATTGATATAAGTGAATTCATTATATTCTGTTATTAATATTATTTGGCAAGTTGGTATGTCTTATTTTATAGTATTCTGTTATTTATGTCAACATACTAATAAAGTACATTTCGTTTATATTTCGCGACGAAAGTGTATTTATCAGGGGTATTTAATCTTTAATTTATTTGATATTTTAAAATAGTTAAAATATAAAATGAGTTTTAAATAATAAACAAAACCAGTTGCTTATAAACTGCATAATTTTGAACACTAAGTTATTACATTCACTAACAATTTCCAGTACTAATCAATTATATTGACAACAATTAATTAAAATAAAAAACTAAAATTTAACCTTAAATTTAGGACCGAAACGATAATTATTTTAAAAATTTAGAGGAAAAAAACATTAAATAAGAAAAAAATTCTTATTTAAGTATATAGGTATCATTTTTTTTATACCTTTCAAGAATACCTACTTTTTATATAGATATTCATACCTCTTATTTTAAAATGCAAATATAACTTACTCTTGTCTTAGAAACGAACAACTCAAAAATAACTATTATTTCTTTAAAAAAAAATAAGTTGCAGTATGTGTTACTTGTTTTTACATTAAAATATATATCAATATTCAAATCTGATTTCTGAAAACGTATTTGTATTTCTATTGCTGGTTAAGATTATGTCCAGAATCCCCACCCAAGTGAGTTTCAATAGAGAATGAGTTCTATTCGGATGGTTACGTAAAGGTATACGCATAAACAAACTCTTTCAAAATCGATTTAATTATTCTGCTATTATTAAAATTTTTTTGTCCTATTTAATAGGTTTAAAAAAACCCAACGTTTTCACAATAACTAAAATAGCAGTATAGTTGGCTAAAATATACAACATCTGTTCTCTTAAAAATTAATTTTATTGTTTTATCTCTAGTGCCCCCTTTTATACTCTGGTAAGTTATTTATGTCTATTTTTGTCCTACAGCATTGTTTTATATAAATCTAAATAGGATTTTTATCATTATAAAATTGTATTGATTGCGAATGTCTCTGAATGAAAACAAAATTATAAATATACATTAGTAAAATTGATAAAATGTAATTATTTATTTTCTTCTATTGAATCAATAAATAAGTTTATTAAGGTTGTCGGTTTTTATTTAAATAAGGGTTCCCTACGATTTTAAGAATTTCTCCGCTCCGTTTCAATGTCAAAGTAGAGTAACAAGTAATTGTTAGTATAAAAAACGCTGTAGGGGCGTTCACAAGTTCGAGTTACGAGTTCGGTAACAGTATAACGTATTATAAGTGCAGCAACAAAATACATGAAGAGTAATGTGGTGGAACTATAGTCAAGTCTTTGCTTTGACCAACATTTACGTTGCATTTTCACTATATTTTCAATGTTGCCATCTTTTTTTTATAAAAAATTTTTTTATATTATATTAAACCATTTTATCCTGTTTAGACTATTTTTTTTTATCAAAATGTCAACAATCTTATATTAATACTTATATCAAAATACTTATAATACTTATATCAAAATCTCTTGTTTTCCCAATTATTTAAAAATTCATTAAAACACAACTGTCATTAACAAATCGACACAACCAGGTGTGCTCACGAGTTAGAGTAATCGGTTGCATCTTTATTCTGTTACCGAGCTTGTGACTTGAACTCGTGAATACCCCTACTGATTTTTTAATTGCACGAATTTTATTGCTTGTTTTCAAATGTTTTCTCTTTATTGCAGTTTATTTTTTGTTTGTTTTTGGTGTACTTATAAAAATTGTGTTATTTTTTATAAATCAAGTTTTAAAAAGCATATTTAGATTTTTTGGGGGGAGTTACGAAATAAATAAGTATAACGAATGCAATCGCAGATAATTGTCTGCAACATTAGCGTGACGCTGCAAATGCTCTCGAATTGCAACATCTGAATTATTGCTTAATAATTAGAAAATAAATTTTTAAAAAAATTGCTTTTTGCTAATATTTTTTTTGTATATATACTAATTGTATGAAAAATTTATCTATACAAGTTTTTTAAATAAATCCTAAAAAGTATTATTTACAGAAGTCATTCACATCAACATAAAAAGAGATATTTCGAAAAAAAATCTTTCAGTAAAATAAATATATACAATTATTTAAATTAAGTCTGATAAAGAAAAGCTCTGTTCTTGCTTAGGAAAATTCTAAGAAAATTTCTTAAATTCCATCACGTTCAATGCAGTTTTTTTTAGATTTTATAAAAAAAACATATGCTTTGAATGCAATTTTTTTTTAAGCAAAGTAGCCAAATGTTTCGAAACTTTACTTGAAACATGAAAACATATGAAAAATATTTCACATTAACTCAATAACTTCTTTATTTGTATCCATAGCTTTTTAGAAAGCTATATAATTTATAACGAACTTTTAACTAGAGGTTTTCTATGGCTGCGTTATACGTATGCATTTAACAGTGTTCCTATAAAATATTCTTAAACTCCTGGAATAAAATGTTTTAGAAAAATTCCAATTTTGTATTAATCGATACATAGGAGAATTAATTAGATATTAGAGAATTATTATTTGTCTTAATAATAATTTGTTAGAGAATGTTTTTCATTTCATATAACAATTTTTTTGATCGTTATTTCTAAGTATTTGCTGATAAGTTCCGATAAATTTACGAAAACTAGTATTCGGCACATGTTTGAAATTAAAACCATTAATCTGACAATAAGAAACTGTAGTGATATTTTCACTGATTTAATGCCATATAGATATGTTATAATATTTCTAACTGCAACAAACTTGCTATACTGAATTGTATAAGAGTTTTTTGAGTTTAAATATTCTCAAATATATTGAGTTTAAATATAATATAAATATGATTTCTCTTAATATTTCTTAATATGTACATAAAAATATGACAAAAATGAATTATAATAAAACCAATGTGTTATTTTTTATAATTTTAATTTATTAAAGCTACTTATAATATGAGTGTGAATATATAATGACTATATATGGAATTATAGTACGTTGAATGAACGAACCCTACTTGCAGCTGTATATCATTTTTCATGTGCAAATACTATCCGTCTCAATACTTTATCTATATGCTTTAAGATTTGTCAATAGTTAAAGCAAATGCGGGTGTAACTAGATTTTTTTTCCTTGAAATTGAAATATCAGAATTTTTCAAAAAAACTTTAAATCAATATTTTTTTATTTTGAACAACTCCTGTTAATATTTTGCGGTCAATAGTCAAATTTCGAATCAACATAGCTATAGAATTAACTTTCAATTTTAGTTTTCCGCTTAGATTCAATAAATTTAAAAATTCAATGAAATACTAATTAACGTGAACTAGATTGCCATCAGATATAACTTTATCAATACTATAATAGACTTTTTCTTCCCCTGAAGTACTATTAAATACATTATGAAGTAGGAAATCATCTTGATTGGTGAGAGCTAGAATTACATAATTAGAAATTTCTGTATTTCCAAACTTATGTATTGCAAATTACATTAGTTTACAAATAATTAAACGTTTTGTTTGCCAGAGACCAGACCTATATTTTCTATAATGAAATTTTCCGTAGAACTCGAATATTAGCGTTTTTTTTTTTAGCTGTGTACCGTTTTCGAGTTAATTGCGGAAAACCATTATTTTTATTTTTTCCAAAACATCACCCTGCATACCTTTTTTTGTGAAGGTATTTCATATAGTCATGTATATGAAATTAAAGGTAATGTTTTAAGCTTCATAACGTCAATGTAACTTGATTTTTAGTTATTAAAATTTTAGAAATTATTTTGTAAAATTTAGAGTGTAAATCAAAACTGCATAGTTTAAAATTGAACAAATTTTATTTAAAAATAAAATATTAATATTAAATATTAAATTATTGCATTCTTTAAAAGTTTAACGTCAAACGTGGAACTACTGATTGTCTATGTATTATGTGATATGTAGCAGTTTATTAAATTGTTAATTTTGGAGATGATACCATATAATACTCATTTTATATATTTTGTAAGTCATTTTTAAAAGTCATTTTAAATTTTCTTTAATCACTACGTTTAAACGAGTTTAAAAATCGCTTTTAAATCAGATTTCGAAATTAGTTTTTAAGGTAACTGTCAATCAGTCAGCTATTAAGCGGTAAACAAAAATGTTGATTTTAAACTTTTTAAAAACGGGTAGAGTAAAACTACAAATTGTTTTACTTTTATTGGAAAAGAAAGATATTGTAACCAAAGTAAGGTAATATTCCCCTAACTCGAATCGTCAAGGGGACGGCAAAAAAGTTCAAGTTAGGGAAAATTCAAGTTATAGAGACAACACTTTTTGTTTTGGTTTTTCTACCAAATATTTTTTATTTAAAATATTCAGTTACATATCTTTAGTTTTACCACTCTCTTTTGAATTTCCAGAATATTTAATTATTTGAATATACATTTATATTTAAATTATTCGATTATATGTATTGGTTTTCTCTTTACTTGTACTTTTTCTATATTATTTTCCAAATTGGGACATATCATCCGGTGCGTTTGCTTTGGAATAAATAAATGTTCAAATTGTCTTGATCGGGTCTTTATTTGCGGCAAACAGCTTTTATTGTGTCTGCAAACTTCTTTACCTCTTCTCTAATAATACTACCCGACAGATGTAGACTTTTTGCTATTCCACTAATTATTCACTGCAACATAGCTTCTTTCACGTCATCATATTTACATATTATAACCCGTTTACGTTTATTATAAGAGAACTCTCCAAGTTTAAGGAATTTCATATTTTTCTCCTATATCTTTTTTCTTTTTATCACATTTATCTACTTCAACAATTAAATCAATTTTTTCGGTGATTGTCAAAACGTGTCAAATTTCTTTTACCCATGTTTGTGATTAAAAGGCTACTGCTCATTGACAATAAGCAAACTCCATCATCGCATTAGTGAAATTTACAATAATAATAGCAGT